TGAGTTAGGGATCCAGCTATCTTACCTGCTTTTACTGTTAGGTTTACTTGGTGTAGGAACTTTCTTTGTAATCCGTCAAGTCCTTGTACGTAGAGAACTTGACCTTTCTGCTAAAGAATTGCAGGTAAGGGCTTTTTTCTTCTATTTTGCTCCTTAAATAGGTTTTGCTGCTTCTACTTTTCTTTCATTTTGAGTCCACTAAAGATAATATGAAAAAGGAGACAAGTTAGCATATCTTTCATTTCTTCATCTTTATTTACCTCCTGCAGGGCGGATAATTAGTGCTGCTTGTAATGAATTAATCATCCTGTTGATCCTTTCTCTTTTGCTTCTTAAATTTTAGGAGCAAGTACGGAGTGGTGATGCCAGTGCTACTGAATTATTTGAACTTGGTGCAGTAATGCTGAGGAGAAAATTTTACCCTGCAGCTACTAAATACTTGCTTCAGGCAATTGAGAAGTGGGATGGAGAAGATCAAGACCTTGCGCAGGTACAATAAAATCCTTAGCCTTTTGCATCTCTCTCAAGCAATATGGTTTTCTTGTAGCATACTTTTAGCATGACCTACATGCCTTCCCTTGTGGCGGAAGCATGTTATTGATTGTATGAGAAAAGGGTAAGATTGAAAACAGTTAATACATTAGAAAAGTTTCAATATCTTAGATGTCTTCTGCTTTAGAGAGTGTGTAGGTCAACTTATATTTCAGTTAATGTGAACTTGTAAATTCTCCAGCGACAGTTTAAATTTCATCATGTGTTTAACAATTGACAAAGCTTATAAATTGAACACCTTACAAGCTCAAGCAATAGCATTTCAAAAAGATGTTGAGGTAATAACTTCTATTTTAAAGACCACAAACTTTCTTAAAAGTGTCATTGTTGACCAAGTAAATAAACAAACCTTAATAACTTTAAAAATGTATTTGAGTAGCTGGTCTCTTACCTTTTTGTTTTTGGAAGGATTCTTGTTTCTTCTTGTACGTGTCTTTTTTCCTATTAATGTATATATTTTTTTAATTTTTTCAATTTTTTTTTAGAAAATACAAAACAATTTTAAGAATATTATAGGCTTCATTTTGCATTTTGAATATTTTTTGTCATTTTGAAAAATTAAACAGTTTGTAAATTATATATTTATCTAATAAGTAAATAAATTAGAAGTTATAAATTCTTGTCATATAAATAGTCCAATATTTTTTTTTTCTTCAAAAAGACTTTTATAACCTTATGCAGTGCTAAAGAACTTACAGGTTTTAAGTCGTACGAAACAAAGAATCTCTTTTTATAGCAAGTTTGGCATAAATAAGTTTCTTATTATCTTGTACTTTGACAGGTGTACAATGCACTAGGTGTCACTTATGTTCGTGATGGAAAAATCGATAAAGGAATAAGTCAATTTGAAACTGCTGTAAAGCTGCAGCCGGGTTATGTTACAGCATGGAACAACCTCGGTGATGCATATGAGAAGAAGAAAGATCTGAAATCTGCTTTGAAGGCATTTGAAGAAGTGCTACTCTTTGATCCTAATAACAAGGTGGCGCGGCCTAGGCGAGATGCCCTGAAGGATCAAGTTCAAATGTACAAGGGAGTTCCTGTCAAATCAAAGAAAAGATGACCTGCCTCTTTACCGTTATATTTTTCCTTTTACCATAACCAGAAAAGATGTTTATCTTACATTCCACTGCCTTATTCTATTGTGACCAAAGGCAACCATTGGACCCTTTGAAGTTCAATATGATAAGAGTTGCCGAGTATTTCATTTCTGAATCTCTATTTGGATGCAGTCGCTGTGATGACATTTATCTACTTTGACGACATTGAATACACTATTCCTTTTTAACGCAATCTTATCAACAGAAAGAGAAGAGAATAATACGCAAATGAGGCAATATAAAACAGCACCCAAATTCCTTTTTAACAAGATCAAATAAACATCAGTAAATATCTATAAAGCTTGGCCCCGAAAAAAAGTTATGAAAGTGGTTTTATCCCAAAAAAACAAATGGGCAAGTAGCAACTGAATGATTCTAGCATTACGTTTCGATTGTAAATCTCAAAAAAACTAGCAAAAAGAGTCTCCTCCAAACAATACCAGCTTACTTCTTTGCCCCGACTCTCTCAATTGACACACTTATAAAAATGTTAGCGGAAAAGGGAAGAACTCATCGAGAAAAAAATGATTGTGCGATTTTCAAGCCATATCACAATGTAGGGAAAAAAGAAAAGTGATTGTAGGATTCAACACATGACATACATATCTAGGAAGAGAGCAGAATTTGCTTGTGAGCTTGCAAACAAGTCATTATGTGCAATTCAGGCAAAACCTTTTACTCACAGAGGAATTTTACCTCCTAAAAAATACTGATAAAAATCTCACATTACAAGATTATGAAGTTCTTTGAAGAAAGGACTTACATGTATAAGTACTCATGCTCTCTTTCCATGTTTATGAGTTATGTGCTTGAATACACTACGTTTTTAATATAGATTTAAGAATATATACAGCACAATTCATTTACCAATGCAAATTTGTGTTTAGACCGTTGTTATTGTGATTTTACAAACAAAATTTTGCACTTACATGGAAATAATTGTTCGAAACATATCCTAGGAAGGATCCGGAAACAAACATACCCCTAAAAGCTTTAAAGTTAAAAAGAAAATGCCAAATCATACTCTTCATTGTTAGCTAAGTAACTGGATTCAAACTGCATAATTTATTGATGAATGTTTTCCTAGGAACCAGCTCAGAAATCCCATCTCCAAAACATTTCTCAACAAGGTACATGAGAATCCAGAAGTTAAGTTGCAGTTGCAGACAATTATGACAAAGGACTTGGTGTTAAATAACATGAGGACAAGATGCCCTAAGAAGTACATAAGAATCCAGAAGTTTGGAGTAACTAAACAATATAAGCAAACTTAAAGCAGACAAGAACTCTTACTTTCATCCAAAATGAAGCACCGCAATTATTCAGGTGCCAGAACCATAGCAGATTTATATGGACAAAGCATCTGCTTCTGCTCCTCTGTCCACCAGCAGAGGCGCTTTACATGCTAATTTCCATTAAAGTAAAACATACCACGTCCACATGCCCCAGTTACTGCCCAGTGCTTCCTTCAGTGAAGTAATTTGTTTAGGGTCAAAGCAGCACCTGTTGGTCAAGAACCAGATTTACAAATTTATCATACAGATGTCTCCAAGGATCTTTATTCATATGGCTGTGAGCCCTTGCACTTAGGAGATGATTTATGTGTCACTGAAGGCCCAGTCAGTAATTTACATCAAATGCCAAATACTAGTAGCTTTCACAATAAACAGGCTGCATGTTCATATAGTTTTAACTCTATTTGAATAGAAGGAAACTGCAACAGCAGTTACTTTTAACTTTTTATATTTAGAGTTTCCAAGTAAGGATTGTCTCTAAAGTATTAAAAAAAATGGCACTGCATGCTATTTTTGTCAACTTCAAGTCAACGAGTCTCAGGTGCAGTTTCCTCTTTAATTAAAAAGGGAACAAACTTTTTCTTCTTGTTCTGAAATTAAATCTATCAAGCTTCTAAAGGCATGCTTATTTGGTTTGGTCTATAGAAACTTCTATAGTAAAATACAAAAAACAAACCATCATGTATAGAAACCAATATATATATGTATATATATATGATAATATATTCTCTTAATCCAATTACTTCCCAGAAGAAAAAGAACAAAGAAAGAAATGGATGGCAGATTGTTAAACTTAAACACTTACATTTTCAGAAGTAATTAGCATATTGTAATTACTTATTTTGGAAGAATCAGGTCTTTAATGGCTTATCTTCGGTTTTCAAGTTCTTACTTGATAACTTACGGCTATACTAGAAATTAAACTGTTTAAACAGATGTTAAATCTCAAACATCTGGCAAGCAAGCATAAATTGCAAATTAAATGAGATATGTAGTTAATGGCAGTCCATGAAGTATCTAGCCTTCCCTCCCTAATATGGAAACAATTTCTATTCCTAGTGATGGTAAGCTCTATACAAAAATTAGCTTACACAGGTCTCTTTTATCACTCCATATCATGCATGGGGCAGTAACCACCTAAATCCCAATAAAACTTTTATGAGCTTTATGGAACAACAGAGCCTGCATAATAGTTAACTTGATGCTGAGCCTTACAAGAACAAGGAAGGGGATGCTTGTTTCAAAGTGTTTCGGAAGCAAGTCAAAATCCAATAAGGGTATGGCGACCCTGATCTAACAAACAAGTCAAATTCAATAAGAGTCTGGTGACTCTGATCTAATTCGTCAAATTAAGAAGTTAAAGAAGCATACCTTCTGGAGCTCACCCATTTGAGAAATTAGAAATATTTGGATCACTGCCCTCTTGGATTTCTTTCAATGACCCAAGGAACTTCGATAAAATAATTGAATCATTGCTTGTGTCTCTGTCAGCCAACCAATCATCTCGAATGCAAACATCCACATCCCTGTATAACAACTTTGAGACAGGCTCGTCAAGAATTTTATATAGATGGAAAGATTTGACACTAGAGCGTTTCCAATGCTTAAGGCTCTATGAAGGAAGAACATAGTATCTCATGATACAATTCCATCCATGGGTGCATGTGGAATAGGAAAAGATACAAACACACACACATAGAGTAAAAGAAAGGAAATAGATGACCTATGAAGGAAGAACATAGTATCTCATGATACGAGTAAGTCCATCCGCAGGTGCACGTGGAATAGAAAAA